TCTTCTGGTTTCCTTCATTTATTCACTGGACATCTGAGGCCTTTCATTATGTTCCACCATTCCAGAATGTTGCTTTCTGTTTAGAAGCTTGCTATCTCTCATGTTTAGGAAAAGCCATGGGCTAAAAGTACATAAGTGAAAGGGAGACAAGGCTGAAGCTAGAAGGCAGTTAGATAAGCTTCTGTGCCTCACCTTAAAGTCCATGAGGAACATGGGGGGGGGGGCAGAAATAAACAGAAAGTATTTAAGGCTGAGCCACTCCTATGAATGCTCAGAGGCTCAGGCAATAGAAAGGAAAAGAAAGTGTTTCGTGTGAGCTATCCAACTTCTGGCTCCACACATAACTTTCATTTCCTGCCAGTGGCCAAAACTCTCTCATTGTGACTGCAGCAGATAGCTTTGCTGACATAATAAGTCTAAAGCTTATTATGAAGGAGGTTTCAGAGGCTCCCAGTAACTTAAGACCAAGAAATTATGAAGACCTAAAGTTCTTCTACTTGTATGTCCACCGCGACGTGCCACATTTGGTCTATGTACTCCACGGGCTGCAATTCTAAGAATATGTAGTGAGAGAAAGAATGCTGTTCCATTTTCATCCAGAGGACCATAAAGCACCTCATCTCTACCTAAGAAGCTGGTAACAAGCCCACAACGCTCAAAACCAGCTAATGGGATGGAGTTTTTATATTCTGCCATCAGGTACTGTTTAAAATATTCTGGGTGCCCACATGTATAGAGTAGTAAAGTCATCTTTGTGGGCTTGTTTGTACATTTACACATCATGATCCTCAAGCTTGGTCCTAGCTCTAATAACCTAAAATGTTAGTCACTAACACAAAAGTTTTTTTTTTTTTAATGTCTGGGCAGGATTTAAGCCCAAATAAGAACGAGTGGTGATATACATTAGGATTCATCTAGGAACCTGTTTTGGAATATAGGTATTACTCTAAACCCAGGCCAGACCCAATTCTGAATTATGTATCCCTCTAAGTTTCTGCCTGTCCCTGACAAAATTAAAGATAGTGGCCTGCACATTTTACTACCCAATCGCTGATTCAACAGATTCAAGTCTCATCTCTGCCAGGGAATCTCTCCTCCTCAGTTTCACCCACCTATGAAATGGGTGAAGTCATCACCCGGAGATGTTCTGAGAGAGACCGTAAAGGCCCTTCATGACTTTGCAAATTAAATGTGGAATACAGACGTAAATATCACCCCCCCCCCGAGACCCAGCAACAAGAAACCGAATTATTCTTTTCTGGAGCAGAGAAAGTAAACAGCCGAACACGGAAGGTGCCCGGAGGTGGCTCTGAAGCCCAGCTAGACGCCCCCGCCCCACCTTACCCAAAACTCGCTCACAGCAGGAAAGAAGTAAATGGAGTCAGACTTGGGGAATAAGCCGGTACGGAGCAAGGGCCGCCCCGACGGCTGAGGATGCAACCCCTTCTACGCCTGCCGGAGGCATTACAAGAGGGGCAAGGAGGTGGCTGCCCGGATTCCTAGACCGAGGTCCCTCATCCCCGAACTTCCCGCCCCGGACACCGAGCGAGGCCTTGCGGGGCTTCGCGCTCCACGCCGGTACCTGCCGCTTCCAGCAATTCCAGAGCTCGGCCGTAGAGCGCAGCCGCCTGGCCGTACTGCCCATTGCGGAACTGCTCGTTCCCTGCTTGCTTCAGGTCGGCGATCCGCGACGCAGGAGCCATGAAAATGGGGGAGGGAGGTCCGAGAAAGCCGGCACCGGCTGGCGGCGTAGAAACGAGGAGACGCTTCCTTCCTCCGTGCTCGGCTTAATTAGGGGCGGCGCAACCCGGCCACGCCCCGCCTCCTTCCTTTAGGGGCGCCCGTGCGCCGGGAGGGCCGGCACTGCGGTTCCCGCCTGGGGCCCGGGAGGGGGGGTGGTGG